AGTTCTGTTGATGTTCTGCTGGTGTTCTGTTGATAACCCGGGTTGGTATCTGGTTCCTGCAGGAGTCTGAGCTGTCAGAGGATCACTCTCCACAAAAACCTCTTCTTCTCCTTCGTCCTGAACTCCATCATCACCATCATCTGGCTGACGGCCGTCGCAAACAACCAGGAGTTAGTGCAGCGAAACCCCGTAAGTCCAGCGGTGTGAGGGTTTGGTACAGTGCTGAGTGAGAGATGTGGGTTTGGGTCAGTAGATCCTGATGGTTCTGATGTTTTGATGATCCTGATGGTTCTGTTGGTTCTGTTGGTTCTGATCTCTCTGTAGACGAGCTGTAAGGTGTCTCAGTTTGTTCACCTGTACCTGTTCGGGTGTAATTATTTCTGGATGCTGTGTGAGGGGATTTATCTGCACACGCTCATCGTCGTCGCCGTCTTCGCCGAGAAGCAGCACCTCATGTGGTACTACCTGCTGGGGTGGGGTACGGTATAATTATCATATTAATAAATACACCTCCACCTTTTTCTCCTCCACCCCCTCCTCCTCCACCTCTTCCAGTTCCTTTTCCTCTACCTCCTCCTTCTTATCGTCCTTCGTCTCCTCCACCACATCCTCCACTTCCTCCAACCCCTCTTCTTCCACATTCTCCTCCTCCACCTCCTCATCCTCTACCTTCCTTCCTCTCTTCTTTTTCTCCATGTCCTTCTTCTCCTCCTTCTCCTACACCTCTTCTGTATCCTCCTCCTTCTTCTCCACCTCCTCCACCTCTTTCTCCTCCTTCTCCTACACCTCCTCCTCCTTCTTATTCTCCTCCACCACCTTTACCACATCCTCCACCTTCTCCTCCTTCACCTACTCCTTTTCCTCCTCCACCTTCTCCTCCTTCACCTCCTCCTACTCCTTTTCCTCCTCCTTCTTCTCCTCCTCTTTGTCCACCTCCTCCTCCTCCTGTGTACTGCTCTGAGAATCTCTTATGGGTTTTATTTATTTGATCATTTTATTTTCTGCAGGTTTCCCATTAATACCAGCTACAATACACGCTATAGCCAGGAGCTATTACTACAACGACAAGTGAGTATATTTATATAAATAGCAGTATATTAGTATATTATTGTTTGTGTTTTAATGATAATATTGTTGTTCTGTTGATCTGCAGCTGCTGGATCAGTTCGAACACGTCTCTGCTGTATATTATTCACGGGCCGATCTGTGCGGCGCTGGTGGTGAGATATCTCCACGCTTTTATTCTCAGTTATTATTTTTTTTTACTTTATGTTCGTTAATGCTTTTCCTGTTTTTATTAGTTTAAAAAGCTAATTAAACAATAATCAGATGTAGTATTCACTTACTGTTACTGCTCGTTTTAACCCACAGGCTGTGTTTTTTAGGTTTTATTGACGTTTAAGCAAATCAGTTCCAGTCTGAAATAGTAAAAAGATAAAATAATAAAAAAAATAAAGAGTCTCTTAGGGATGAATCATTGTTAACAGTTTTTAGCAATGATTTTTGTGTTTTAAACAAAAAAACAACTTTCGAAGAATAAACAGCCTGTGTGATTGGCAGGTCACATGACCAGGCTTCGTATTTCATCTCAACCCTGGAGTTTGATTGGACAGTAGGATATATATTTGTTTGATTTATTAAATGTTTTGCACTGGGGGATGTTTACAGTGTTTAGCACTGCAGATCACTCAGCCTCCCACACACAAAACACTGAATTCTGGAATTAGATACAGATAAAAAATTTTATCCTGATGGAACAGGCACTAATCTGTAAGCTGGGTAGCTAAACTACGCTAAGCTAACTGTGCTAAGCTTTCCATTCAGAATTGTGCAGAGGTTGTGTTATTATCCACTCATAGATACACAGTCTGTATAATATGATGTATCTGAAGTGTAGAGATGTGGGCGTGGCCTGTCGCTGTGCTTCAGCTGCTGTCTCTGTGTCTCTGCAGGTGAATCTGTTCTTCCTGCTGAACATCGTTCGGGTTCTCATCACTAAACTGAAGGTGACGCACCAGGCCGAGTCCAGTCTCTACATGAAGGCGGTGAGAGCCACCCTCATCCTGGTCCCGCTGCTCGGCATCCAGTACGTCCTGCTGCCGTATAAACCGGGCGGACGCGTCTCCTCCGAGATCTACGATTACGTCATGAACATCCTCATGCACTACCAGGTAAACCGCACACCTGTCTGTAAAAACGTGATCTGAGAATCACCTGATCTTCACACTAACACTGTCTTCTCTTTACTCATAATGGGAATCTGACAGCTGTTTATGCTTATTGTTTAATTTTATTACGATTTTATAGAATAGATTAGAATAGAATGCATTTGTTGTCATTATACACATGTAAAATGAGATTAAAAGCCACTCCTTTTTTCCGAATGCAAACATCTATATAATATAAAATAGTACAAAGTGACGAAGTGCAAAAAAGGATCAGTGGATGTGTGAGTTCAGTAAAGTGATGGCTTTAGTACTCTGCGTTGATACCACTGCTT